ATCATGCATACGTCCATCGCTGTTTAACAGCTTTACGTTTTTATAACTAAGCTGCTTAAATTGGTTTATAGCAGCATTAACATGCACTTGTTTCAGCTAGGTAGCCAGGAAACGGGCTTGATTGTTTGTCCTGCGCTACGCCATTGAGACGCGGAACTGTATTTTGTTTCACCAGTGTTGTCTATTTTTCAATTGGTTTTCGATATTGTCGAACAAAAAAATACCTAATACTAATTAACAATTTTTTCTGGGTACTTGTTTCGCTACACGATAGCTTCATCAGTTACTGGCACTGATACTGGTTACTGGCAATAATATAATATTTAATGGATACAAAAACAGCATCACTGGAATATGATTTCACGAATATAAATCATGATTATCATTGATAAAAACGGTTGTCTCTCTTCTTTAGATTTGCATAAAGAATTGGATATTGTTGTATTGTTTGATTTTTGCTTCGGAGAAATTTTTTTCGAATCGTTCCAGAACTATTTGCTCAATAGGACATACTCGTACTATAGTGAATAATGAAAGTTCTTGAAAAATATCAACTTTAGAAATATTTACTCCTTCTCAAATTCAGCAATCGCGGGAATTATCAAACGATGACACTACAGTAATTCATTTTTCAAAAACTTATGATGAAGTTCAAAGAAATATAGAATAATCTCTGGTTTCGGCTTCAACAATTTGAAATAACACTGAATTTCAATGAACAATTCACATCGATATATCGAAAAGAAAAATACTTTTTTCAAATTCCCTAAATTCAAAAAATTTTAATCAAATCATGCATTTTTAGGTTTTTTTATTGCCCATGGAGCAAATGTATCAAGTGTCAAAGGGTTCTTGGTATTCTCTAAATCATAGAGTCTATAAAATAGAAAATGATATATCACCATAATTTGAATTTTTGAAAAATATAATCATTGGAGTTTTTTCCCAACACCAAACCGTTATTTTAACAGCTTGACACGTGTTTCGATCACCAAGTGATCATCTTCAAGTAATATTCATTACTACACCAAAGGTTCCAAACAGTGCATGACTTTTACATCTACATAATATCTATAGTAAAAATATTGAATATCAAAATTCTTGAAATCTTCACAGTGTAAATGATTTCTTTGTAAATGTAAAATACTCTTTTTTGGAAAAGAAAGTTTTTGGATATCTACTTCTCTATCTTGATACAAAATAATGTAAGAATCTTCCAAAGAAAGGAAGGAAGCAATCAATTCTAGAAGAAGTAACTACACATACATGTGTAGATCATGCAAAGCAGTAACTTTTAGACACAAACTTGAAGAAAAAGCCCTCCTGAAACAGCTACATTCATATAAACTTTTAATTACACGAAAGAAAAATTCTTTCGAAACAAATAATTTTTTTTCAACATATTTTCTTATAATAGTGGTACGAAAATTAGACTTCACAGTTGGATGCGAAAATCCGAAACTGTATCCAGTCTGTTTCTACATTTATTTTTTGTGTAAGCTGAAAATTCATTGTCACATCGGTAAGGCGTCACGAATGGGAGCAGAACTTAGATAGCAGGGTATTTGGATCCCCGACAGAGCGTGCGGAACCCCTGTTTCCCTTCTACGGAACCCCAGGGTTCCGCGGACCACCATTTAGGAACCTAATATCTACACATCTATGTATTTCGAAATTGATTCCTTTCTTCCTTCCTTTCTTTGAAAGATTCCCACTTTTTTGGTATCAATATGGAGGAGTGGAAATCCAAAAACTTTCTTACCCAAAAATGAATCAGATGTGAGTTCTGTTTATGAATTGAAAATTCAATGTGCAACATTCTTCTTACCGAAATATGTGAAAAAAATAATTCATTGTGAAAAGTATTCAACACAACACTTCTTCATGAAAAAAACTTTTCTCTAATATAAGTATGAGCAATAATGTATTTGAACATGTGTAAATGAAACGTTCCAAAATTGTTTTTGTATTATTCTTAGCTGGACAGTTTCAAAGTAAAGAGGTTCGTAAAATTATATTTCATGACTTGATGAAGACCAAAAAATCATTCAAGGTTGTATGTAAACTCACTGTTGAGCCACGGCGTAGAATCAAACATTTGATTCATCATTATTTTTGTTTGAATAAATTCCAACAACAATCGAACGGATTAACCGTTTTGAAATAGTAGATATCAATAGAATGGAGATGATATTTTGAAAGATACTTTTAATGTCTAGCAGGTATTACTCAAAATAATTCAATTAATGGGTATTTAAATAAACACCGCTGAATTGCCTAAAATAAAGAATATCTGAGGGATGAATTTTCAAATCGAAATTGATTTCTCAGATAATTGTGTGGAAAATTAAAATATATTCCAAAGTAATATCAACTCACGATGCTCCTCATAATATTTTTGATTATTATTAGTGGCGAAATATACCTGCTTTATAATAAAATGAACTTCCACTTCATCTATTGAAAGTTAGTGGATATATATATAGATAGACTACAATTACTTCCTCCTGGTAAAATAAGCCAATTTGAGTTGGAGTATATAACCACATTATGAACCACCATCTGGCCAAGCAAACCTTTACTTTACGTGATAACGGTACATTATTCTAACAAACGCAAATGAATATTACTCCGTCAACCATTTATATCAGTGCTTTACGGAATACATTTATCTCAATCGCTGCGAAACTTTCATTTAGTCTGTTTATATCCAAGCAATAAAGCTCGACACATTCAACTATAGCTGTGCACTTATCTCAGATGCCAATCAATAATTCCATTCGTACAGCAACAATTACAGTTCCTTATATATCTGGGTATTTTAATAAAGTTCATGATTAATATTTCCACACGCTTTTGGTATTTACAATGAGGATTGAGATTCCTCTTCTTTCGTGTTCATTTGAAACGAATGAAAAATTGCATGTTATTTAGTTTGAAACATAATAGATTTCTCAGCGTCTTTTGTAATATAATATAACAATCTACTCTGAAAATGGTCTGTTTTGAGTGAAGTCCCCAATTTTTACTAGAATATTTCTGAATCTTTTTCAATTGGAATTATATTCGTATTGGAAGCTTTGTAATAAGTGTCTCGCGTTCACAATTTAACAAATGCAGGCGGTCTCTAAATCACATCTATTGAGAAATAGTTAGGATTGAATCGAAACCTCAATTTCTCAAAAGTGGAAATAAGAGAAGAACTTGCTTCAACAAATGTACAAATTAATAGAAGAAAAACAGGATCAAAAACAGCATGGAACGAAACAAAAAATGATTGCATAAAATAAGTTTAGAAACATTTACTATTATAATTAAATCAAATAACAATCCAAGAGTAAATCTAAGAAATTGAAAGAGTCCAAGATGACCTCCAATAAATCTGCAAATGAAGCAGAAAAGTATTTCCCAAAAATTACAATAATCCATGTTAATAAGAATATCAGACTATCCATCCTATCTTCACTTCACCTAAAAATTTTTAATCCAAACTTGAAACAAAATATACCAAAATACGCCAGAAATAAAAGTACTACGTAACGACCAAAGAAATTCATGCACCATCAATAGAGACTCAGAAAGATAAAATTTCTGCACAAAACTTCGAGCATTTGTGTATTCTCAATATAAAAATGTTAAGCAAGTTATTCAGCAATAAATTATTCATGATGATATTTACAAATTTTCACAATGAAGACTTTATTTCCAATGAGCGTTTCATTACAGTAGATTCCCTAATTGGACTGGTGGTGATTTAGGAAAAGCTAAGGTTGCTATGGATTTGGCAGGGCTCTGTTCAAAATAAAACAGTGTTTTCCCAATTCTCCTGTTGTTTTTTCCTTAAATACAAACACTATTTATAAGAAGATGTTAAGAAACTATTTGGTTCTGTGATACCAAGACCTACCATTTTTTTTAATTCCTTAGGAGTTGAAGCTCCAGATGTAATCATAGTGGCACCATCTGCAAAAATAATTATATGACTCTCAACCTACTGTTGCCGGAGATATTTTACATTCAATAGAAAGGATAATTAATGTCCCAAAAACTGATTCTTGGGGCATATCGAGAGTGATACACCGGATCGTTGAACCATTACAAGTTACTACCTTTTTCTGGAGACTTGTCAAAAATGGACAAATTGGTCAGCTCAACAGCAAGAAACATATTCCTCTCCACTCCAACCAATAAAAATAAAAGGTCTCTGTTCCAATAATACAATAAATATGTGTAAACATTTACTGATATGGAAAAGGCTGAAGATCAGTTGGTTGTATCAAAAGATGCAACCTCTATTTTCCATCTCAGGCCAAAAAATGATAGAGAAAAAAGTAGGGAAAATGTTCCAAACTAATTAAAAATTACAAGTTGGAGAAGTAATATACTGACTATATAATTAAGCCAATTGTTCATTAGACATAGGTATGAAAGTGCATTGGTGCATCGCATTGGTCACCTAAATCTTCAGTTTAGAAGTGATATTGATACTACATTATGTGTTTCAGTAGAAAACTATATAAGTGATTTAATTAGTCTTGTAAATTGAAAGTGGTCAGACACCTTGTCAGTGAATACGAGAAAAGGTTTCGTAATTCTAGTATTTTTCCCAATTTTTTTCTTATGGTTTCAACTTGTTTGCAAATTAATGATATATAACAACCCAAAAATAGCTTTGCAATACTATCCCTTCAAAAAAGCGATTAAATCTCCCCTCACTAAGACGTCTTTTATTTTATTGACAGAAAACTCAGTCCACGAACTTAAAATATAATCGAGTTTACTCTAGATGGCGCTTTTAGGAGATGTTATCGTTTCTACCTACTAAAACTTATCCTTCAAGAACCTTTGGGTTCTGTATGGCATTCGCGAATTGGTGTAGCACCACTGATGAATCCTTGGAGGATCAAAACAACGCTCTTCGGTATTGGATTACCAATGCTTTGTTTTTGATTCTGATTTCAACTTTGCGAAAGCACAATTTTCATCGAGCACTTTTTCAGATCTGAACTACTGCGGTACCCACGAACCTTGCATCAACGGTGGTACCTGCGAGAATACAGCACCGGACAACTACCTTTGTACCTGTCCCGAAGGATTTTCCGGCTCGAACTGTGAAGTGGTGGATAATCCTTGTGCCCCAGCCCCCTGCGCCCATGGGGGTACTTGTCTGGAGGCGGGAGGCTCTTTCAGCTGTGAATGCGGAAATGGGTGGACGGGGCCAACCTGCAATATTGGTGAGTGTATAATAAAATATGTACATATATGTTCATCCTACGTGATAAAGTTATATGTATAGGAGTACTGCTGACGTTTTGAATTTAATTGAATTCTTCTTCAGGACTCTGTAACAATGAATTTTCATAAACATACCTTCCACAAAACTTTATTATCGTTTCAATTCTACAAGAAATAATGAATTTCAAATTAAATTACTCACTTAAAAGTAGTTTCTTCGTTCAAAAACCATAAAACCATATAAAAACCATTAAAAAGACATATCACATACATATTAAAAAAAAATAAAAACATTTCAACAGACAAACACCAACACAAAACGACATGAAACAAACGAATGGCTTCATCTGTGATTCTGATAAGGGGGTGTCTGTTTTTTAATCATTGACAGAAAGAAAAAGAATGAAAAAAGGGTAAATTATTTAGGTATTTCACTTATCAACTTGAAATATGCAGTATTAAGAGCATCGACATCTCTTCAAGTGTTGACACTATCGCATGTGAGAATATGTATCATTTCGCTGAAAAGTCTTTTAGATAAATATGGTTGAACATCTAGAATAATTGGATGATCAAAATAAAAAATGTGTCAATATTCTATTTCATGTCCAACGAGGGCTGTGGGGTTTTTTATATTTAGTTTTTTATTCTGATAAGGGGGTGTCTGTTTTTTAATCATTGACAGAAAGAAAAAGAATGGAAAAAGGGAAAATTATTTAGGTATTTTACTCATCAACATGAAATATGCAGTATTAAGGGCATCGACATCTCTTCTAGTGTTAACACTATCGCATGTAAGAATATGTATCATTTCGCTCAAAAGTCTTTTGGATAAATATGGTTGAGAATCTAGAATAATTGGATGATCAAAAATGTGTCCATATTCTATTTCATGCCCAACGAGGGCTGTGGGTTTATTTATATTCCGTTTTTTTAGAGTGTCTCATGTGTTCCGAAACTCGCGTTTTAAGATACTGCCGGTTTGACCAACATAGCATTCGTGACAGCTTCCACAGTTCAAATTGTACACTATATTGAATTGTATTTCTTGTGGTGTTTTTGTTTTTTGTTTCGAAAAAAAATATGGGAAGTATGTTAATGAAAATTCATTGTTACAGAGCCCTGAAGAAGAATTCATTTAAATTTAAAATGTCGGCAAGAAAACAATTTTTTTTATGAAAAAAGTTTGTTCTGTTACCCAACCAACCTTTCTTCAGAAAAATTATTCGATCACTATACTGTTTATATGTACTGATGAAATTATGAAATGAAATCATTATGCATGATCATATATTCACAACTTTATTAAAAATGCATAGGACAAAAAGGTTTTTGTTTTCTGTTTCTCCATATTCATAGAAAACAAACGTAATTCAGAAAAAACTGGAAGAAAAAATCCTGTCAAAACAACTACTTTCATATTAACGTTAAATCACAGGAAAGAAAAACACTTTCGAAACAACTATGAGCTTTGAATAACACAAAAACACTTTCAGTTTGTTTCTAAAAGTTACTTTTTTGCATGATCTACACATCTTTGTGAAGATTTTATTTTGAAAGTAATTGCCTTCTTCCTTTCTTTGGAAGTTTCCCATATTTTTTGTATCAAAATGGAGAAGTAGAAAACTAAAAACTTTCTTTCCCTAAAAATATACCCCTTTCAATTCAAACAAGAATATTTCATATCATATTCATAATAATGAATCCGTATCTGTTTAACTATGAAATATTATTCTTTAAACGACATTTTTTTTGGAGGACTCAATATTGTATACTGTTTTTTTTTGGGTTTATAACCTTCCACAATCTGCAAAAATACACTTCAGCGGTTCTCTATTGATTTATATTTTATTATTTCAGATTATGGAAGGTTATAAATCAAAACAAACTGTATAAAACATGAAACATTCTTTTGAAAAGTGTATGTTTGGAATATGGACGATGCAATATTCAGTGTTCAATATGAAATAGAGGACCGTTATTTGCGATTTAGAAATTTGAAAGTATGTTTGATTTTTCAAAAACTGTATACAAAAATACTAACCAATGGCTCCAATTTATACTAATACATTGTTCTGGTGATTTCTTTTAAAACTTTCCCCAGTTTAGTTTGTCAACAAATATTATTTTTATATTTCAATTTACTTCTTTACGAAAAAGACCGTTCACCTTCACAGAATGTTGACGTCTTTCAAATTATGTAAACCTAAAAGTTTTATGCGCTAAAGACTATTGAATCTTCTGTCTTCACTCTGTCAGTAAACGGTGCTGGTACTCGTAGATAGTAGTTCCAGCTACTTTTAACAAGGGTGCACCATTGAAAGAATTTTACATAAAAATCTCAAAAGGCATCTCGAGTGTGGTTAAATGGGTTTATTGTAAACAAATATTTGTGTAAGTTATGTGAAGTGAATGTATGAGGGAAAGTACGATTGTTTATTAATCTGGTTTTGAAATATGTTGAGATCGAGGGCTTCATACAGCTTGAAAGATGTATTCATCAGAAATAAACTGATGCGATCAATTATTTGGATTTGTCGTACTCTGTAATTTTGATTTTTTTTTTTTACATCGGATAACTTTCAAAATAATTTATTTGAGAGCATATTCGGACATTCTCTACCGAAATGAAATATTTTCGACAATGCGGTGTTGCCACTTACATTAGAAAGTAGTAGCAACTTTGATTTTTCAAATGGAACACCCTGTCTATAGTATTATTTTTAGAATCTACAACAATTACCCGCCATTTTTTTATATTTGTCTATACCTATCTGTTACCGTTTTCGAAATATGAAATAATTTCATTTTTTCTTCGGAAATCATGACCTCTAAAAATGTTGAAATCTTTGAGTTGAGGAATACTATAGTACTGAAATTTGATTTGGAGTTAGGTGATAATTGAAGGCTTTCCACACTTCAATACAGGGTGGTAAAAGATGAAGTTTTTTCGTTTGCTTGAAATAGTTACTGAAAGTTGATTATTTCAAATGGAACACCCTGTGTATTGGACATTCCAACAACATGATTGTTTTACTTTTTCAAAACTATTCATATCAATATATCAACTTTCAAGTTCAAGTTCAACTGTTTTTTTTTAATTTACCCAAAGAAACGGATATCTTTCGTTGAACTTTTTATCACACTGTCCAAAAATAATAAACAAATTCATAAGTCCTTCGTTTGAATGGTTTTGTTTCATCTCTTTGAAGGTATTTGAAACTTCTGAAGTGACGAAAATGTCAATATTATTAGGAGAATGTTACAAAGTTACTGTCAAATAGTAATCATAGCCTACTGGCAAAATATCGAATGGGAATACCATTCTGAAAGGACATTTTCACAAATAAATGCTCATGAGTCCGAAACTTGACTAATTGGGTGTCGAGACTGTTTTTAGGTGAATTATCAATCAGTCGGATACAGCGTTTACAAATAATTAAATTTTTAATAACACCAACAACACGAAAACAGAAAAAATAACAGTGTAACCTCGTGGTGGGGCGAATCAGATTTCGGATCAGTTCCCGGCCAAAATCTCAGAACAGAATGAATGCATCGGCTAAGAAAAAATGTTCGAAGTCACTTCCGAATAATCATCACTGGCAATATGGTCGGGGTCATGAATATAGTCGAGAAGGGTCAACCACTTGTGCCCGAATTCTTTGTCTAACTGGATAAGAGTGTTAACGATTAGTACCTACTTGAAACATCCCAAATGGTTTCGTTCTGAATATATCTGTTTTTCGAAGCGAGCATTTCAATGATATGCGATGGAAAAATACGAAACTGCATAAGTAAGAATAAAAATAAAAGAATTAACATAAAAACCCAAGTAGATAGATATTTTGAACACCTGCACAATAAAAGAGTTATGAAAAATTAATTTTGTGATAAAAATGTATGATACAAAATGAGAATCAGTAAAGTAATGGAATGTTTCTAACTAAATAGTTGTAGGAAAAACTCTACATGGGTACACGCATGATAGAGATAGAAAGGAATCAAATTTCAACAGCTTTCTGAATTTGTAATAATAAATAGTGTTTCATTTGAAATAAACACCTTCAGTCACTTCTTCAAGCAAACGAAAAACTGTCTAACAGCATGTTCAGAGGTCATGATTTCCGACGAGAAAAATTTAAATGAATTCATATTTTGAGAACTGTAAAACATAGGTACACGGAAATATCAAGAAAAGTTGACGGGTAGTTGTAGATCCAAAAAATAAAAGTTGCTACAACTTTCTAATGGAAGTTGCAACACCGCATTATTGAAATTATTTTAGGTGGGTAGAGAATGTCCGAATATGCTCTCTATTGAATTTTCAAAGTGATCCGGTGTCTGGTTCAGCAGAAACGTCTAATGTGTCATCCACCGTGAATCAGCCTGTATATCAGTAGAATCAACATTCGGAAGGAATCATAGCAATCAGATCATTAAAATAATTTTCTCTGAAGAATCTTCAAAAAATGACTCCAAAGAGACTACTGCTCTTAATAAAGTCACTCTTGAATAAATATTAGAATATCTCTTTGGAAATAATGTATGTTCTTCCTCTACAGAATTAATTGGAACGTTTCAAAAATATTACATTCGAAATCTCAGAAAAATATCTTGGGATATTCCGACACATGCACTTTCAAACAGTTGTATTTCAGTCCCACTCGACACTCTTGAAGTTTCTTGACTCCTTATTTAGTGTCCACTTTTCTTTTGCAAATATACCGCCTTATATCAAATATTTTCTCCTTCAACATCCTCCCACAGAGCGGAATCAAGTTACTCTTGCTCATGATCAAATCAATGATGGGTTTTCAAAATCAATTACACATCTAATTATACGAAGCACTGCGTAGGCATCGGTTTCTGAAAACATCCTTACTGTTTAAATTTTTGTACATTGGTGAAGATATAATGATCATCGTAAGCTACCGTATCGTAATCTGAGATTTGAAGTATAATGGGTTAACACCTACGTTATAGAAACAATGATCTG